TTCAGCATTTAGAAAAAACATGGACCTGTGAATTATATTGCGTAGACCATCTCTTCAGCATTTAGAAAATGAATCTCGTAAAATACAAGGCATCTTGGTGATTCTTTCGACTAGCAGCTCTTATATCTACAGAAAATTACAGTCATTATCAAACTGCTTATCAGATGATTAAATTTAAGGTTAAGTCTTTAGTCTATTAAGTATTTAGTCTAATAATTGTTTATCCTTTTACCGACTCTTAACAGATATGGGATCCGTGAATTATTTAATAGTGAATCATAATAAGTATTTCGTGAAAAAAGTGCAGCACATTATAGTGTATTGAAGAAGTAACGTTTGGTTTGAATCTTTATAAAAAAAAAAAATACAAAATATATTCAACATGGAAAATGGAAACAAAAATTAAGTACAAATACAATTCTGATACAGTATTCGTGTAAGATCTTTAAAGAAACATTCCCTGAGCTTGAATATGAATGGTAATTCCATCTTTTAAAAAATACATGGTTTAAAAGCTGTTTTATTTTGATATGACCAAGATATTAACACGGAAGATGTGTTATTTTCCCCATAAATGCGAAATAATTGATGTTGAATTTAAGTCAACTGTTAAACTAATAAATTCGCCGTTTGAATTCAAACGAAGTCGATGTTTGAACTGAAATGAAGTCGACGTTCAGAATAAAATGAAGTCAACGGTTGAACTGAAATGAAGTCGACGAGGTGTAATTTTCCACAGATAAAGACCCATATAAAACACTCTCTTAGTAGCTGAAACAGCACAAAGAAAACGAACAAAATAAATAAATAAAACACAGATCAATTGCATCACTACAAAGCCTGACAGTTTCTTTTGCAAGAGCAGCCCTATTCGTATTTTGAAATTGCGCAAGAGAAACTGACGTTTTCGAAGAGTTTGGGAAGTTGTCGCTGAAAAGTAGATACCTATGATCCTTACTTATATTAATACGATATTTATCCAATAACTCCAGTGAGTCTGACACGTACAACTCTATATCTACAACCCAGAATCAAGTGAGAATCCAAAGTGAGGGAGATGACCATATCCTGAAATGCATTGTGTGGTTGCGAATTCATCTATCTCAACGAATATATACATGCGTGCACACATACATAACTATATATATATAAATATACATATATATGCTTATGTATTATGTCTCTCATACTCAAATCACGAATCTAGCTTGAAGATGATGAATTCTGTCAAAAGTCCACGAAGACGAACGGACAGTCCACCAATGCTACCCGAAGGAGGAGCCACTCGCCTCAATATATTCGGTCTTTGTGCGTTTGGTTCAGTGCCTTGCATCGCGCAGATTCTAAGCCTGCAACATCATAATTTTTTTTCTTTTCTCTCATGACTTTTTCGACGTTCTTGCTCCAAGAATACTTGCTCGTTTTATTGCCACTTATTTCACTTTATTGCACGAGTTCGCTCCTCACGGCGAATGAAAAATAACGTTAGAAATAGAATGATTTGTGTTAAAATGGGTATTTGCTGATCACTCTCCAGTCCAACCTGAAGCAAGACATCTTGGTTCGCATATGCTCGCCAAAATCCACCTCCGAATCTGTGCAAGGACACCTGGATTAAAATGCTGCTATAAACTACGCGCATTTGTCTACCTTAACGATCTTGTTTCTTTTAAAGAATCAATACAAAAATTGTTGACGAACGATTTCCATTCTATAAACTTTCAAATCCAAAGCCAAAGTCATTAAATGTGTAAAATATGCTCTGACATTTCGCTCGTGGTCATGAAATCGGACAACGTGGGTGATACATCTTCCCATTGTTGCACTGCAAATATCTGGAAACGTTGTTCATTTCCTTTCAGTTTCCGTTATCAGTTCAGTTTCAAAATATTTTGCTAATAATGTTTTCATTTATTTCCGTTTCACTTTTTCTTCTAACATTTCTCACAATTAAACAGTATTTCTCTCTTCTGTTTACTCTCTCTTTATCTATCCATCTATCTTTCTCTACCTATCCTTCTCTCTCTCCATCTATTCATCTGTCTCTCTCTCTTTATCTATCCTTCTATCTTTATCTACCTATCTTCTCTCTCTATCTATCCATCTATTCTTCTCTACCTATCTTCTCTCTCTTCCCCCCTCCCTCTCTCTACATCTATCTATATATCGTTCATTCTCTCTCCCTCTCCCTCTCTCTCTCTTCCTTCTCTCTCTTTATCTATCCATCTCTATCTATACATCCTTCACTCACTCTCTCACTCTCTCTCTCTCACTCACTCACTCACTCACTCACTCACTCTTTTTCACTCACTCTCTCTCTCTCTCGCTCTCACTCTCACTCTCACTCTCTCTCTCTTAACACACACACACACACACACACACACACAACACACACACACACACACACACACACACACACACACACACACACACACACACACACACACACACACTCACACACACTCACACACACACTCACACACACACTCACACACACACACACACTCACACACACACACACACACACACACACACACACACACACACACACACACACACTCACTCACTCACTCACTCACACTCACTCACACACTTACTCACTCACACACTCACTCACTCACTCACACACTCACTCACTCACTCACACACTCACTCACTCACACACTCACTCACTCACTCACTCACACACTCACTCACTCACACACTCACTCACTCACTCACTCACACACTCACTCACTCACACACTCACTCATCACTCACACACTCACACTCACTCACTCACTCACTCACACACACACACTCACTCACACTCACACACTCACTCACACACTCACACTCACTCACACTCACTCACTCACTCACACACTCCACTCACTCACTCACTCACTCACTCACTCACTCACACTCACTCATCACTCATTTTACTTACTCACTCATTCACTCTCCTGTTAGTAAGAGTATCTAATCCCAATGTCAATGCTTTCAGATAAGGTAAACATTATCGCCGCCTCCCTCTCCTGCTTCTTCCCTTCCTCTCTCTCTTCCTTCTTCACTCCTGCTTCTTCCTTTCCTCTCTCTATTCCTTCTTCACTCCAGCTGTGGGTCCCCTTCATCTCTCTTCCTTCTCCTGCTTCTTCCCTTCCTCTCTTTCTTCCTTCTTCACTCCAGCTGTGAGTTCCCTTCTTCTCTCTCTTCCTTCTTCACTCCAGCTGCGGGTCCCCTTCATCTCTCTTCCTTCTCCTGCTTCTTCCGTTCCTCTCTCTCTTCCTCCTTCACTCCAGCTCGGGAGCCCCTTCCACTTCTCTTCCTTCTTCACTCCTGCTTCTTCCCTTTTTCTCTGTCTTCCTTCTTCACTCCAGCTCCGGAGCCCCTTCACCTCTCTCTTCCTTCTTCACTCCTGCTTCTTCCTTTCCTCTCTCTCTTCCTCCTTCACTCCAGCTGCGGGTCCCCTTCTTCTCTCTCTTCCTCCTTCACTCCAGCTCCGGGTCCCCTTCATCTCTCTTCCTTCTCCTGCTTCTTCTCTTCCTCTCTCTCTTCCTCCTTCACTCCAGCTGCGGGTCCCCTTCCTCGCCCTCCGGAGTCTCCTCCTCCTCCGGCCTCGTCCACTTGATCAGTGTCTCGGGGGAGCGGAAGAGGAACACCAGCTTGGCGAACAGGTCCTCCTCCAACTCCAGCTCTCGGCTCTCCCGCACGAGGTAGATGTCGAGGCACAGCTGTTGGGGGGGAGAGAAAGGGGAGAGAGTGAGAAAAGAAAGAGTTGAGAGAAGTGGGGGAGGAATCGGGGAGAATTGAGAAAAGGGAGAGAGAGAAAGGAGAGAGTTGAAGGTAATGGGAGACAGTGAAAGATGGAGAGAGAAAAGAGAAAGTTTGGGAGACATGGGAGAGAGTTGAGAGGTGGAGGGAGAAATGGGAGAGAGATGAGGGATGGAGAGAGAAAGGAGAGAGTTTGGGAGGAATGGAGGAAAGGAGAGAGTTGAGGAAATGGGAGTAAGAGACGGAGAGAGAAAAGAAAGAGTTGAGAGAAGGTGGGGGAGGATCGGGGAGAATTGAGAAAAGGGAGAGAGAAAGGAGAGAGTTGAGGGTAATGGGAGACAGTGAAAGATGGAGAGAGAAAAGAGAAAGTTTGGGAGACATGGGAGAGAGTTGAGAGGTGGAGGGAGAAATGGGAGAGAGATGAGGGATGGAGAGAGAAAGGAGAGAGTTTGGGAGGAATGGAGGAAAGGAGAGAGTTGAGGAAATGGGAGTAAGAGACGGAGAGAGAAAAGAAAGAGTTGAGAGAAGAGGGGGAGGAATCGGGGAGAATTGAGATAAGGGAGGGAGAGAAAGGAGAGAGTTGAGGGTAATGGGAGACAGAGAAAGATGGATAGAGAGAAAAGAGAAAGTTTGGGAGAAATGGGAGAGAGTTGAGAGGTGGAAGGAGACATGGGAGAGAGTTGACCGATGGAGAGAGAAAGGAGAGAGTTCGGGAGGAATGGAGGAGAGAAAGGAGAGAGTTGAGGAAATGGGAGTGAGAGACGGAGAGAGAAAGGAAAGAGTTGAGAGAAGTGGGGGAGGAATCGAGGAGAATTGAGAAAAAGAGAGAGAAAGGAGGAAGTTGAAGGAAATGAGAGAGTTGAGAAAAGGGAGAGAGAAAGGAGAAAGTTGATGAAAATGGGAGACAGTGTAAGGCGGAGAGATAAAAGAGAAAGTTTGGGAGAAATGAGTAGAGAGAAAGAGAGTGAGCGATAAAAGAAATGGTTGCGAGAACTGAGAAAGTCGAGAGAGAGAAAGAGAAAGGAGAGAATTGAGAGAAAGGGGAATATGGCTGAATTTTGGATCTCTTAGGGACAGACACATAGATAGATACATACATACAAACATACATAGGTATATAGATGGATAAGCCTGGCTGATCAATCAATAAACAGATGAATAAACATATAAACAGAAACAGAGGAGGCGGCAATAAACTCTCGGTTATATAATGCAGGTGATGCGTCTTGGCCTCAGGTACACTAAGGTAACCTCTCCGTAAACGAATAACGCGACCACCAAAGCAAAGCATAAAACCACACCTTAAACACCACAAAACCCCTGATAAAACCACACCTTAAATAACACAAAACCCCTGATAAAACCACACCTTAAACACCACAAAACCCCTGATAAAACCACGCCTTAAACACCACAAAACCCCTGAAAATGCACAACCCAAAAGAACAATCATCAAGAAAAGAAAAGAAAAGAAAAAAAGAAAAAGAAGAAAGAAGAAGAAAAGAAAAAAAGAAAGAAAGAAAGAGAGAAAAAACAAAAAAAAACTCCCCACTCTACTCTCGCTCCAGACGCGAACACTCGCTATAACGAACCACCCCTTTAAGACCGCCCTCTCACCTGCATGATCCGATCAACGTTGGGCATGTCATCGAACATGATCTTGAGGGCCGAGCCAGCGAAGTACCCACGCAGCATCTTGCCCGCCACCAGCACCAGGGTCGTGTACATGCCCACGATCCTGCAAGAGGTTGTAAGAGGTTGTGAGATGTGTAAACCGGTGTCATATTGAGGTTGTAAGATGTTGTAAGACGTTATAGGATGTGTAAATCAGTGTTATATTATGTTAAGAGCGAAAATCGAGGCATAAATCAGTGTCGTATTATGTTAAGAGCGAAAATCGAGGCAGAAATCAGTGTCATATTATGTTAAGGGGGAAAATCGAGGCAGAAATCAGTGTCATATTATGTTAAGGGGGAAAATCGAGGCAGAAATCAGTGTCATATTATGTTAAGGGGGAAAATCGAGGCAGAAAATCATTCAGTGTCATATTATGTTAAGAGCGAAAATCGAGGCAGAAATCAGTGTCATATTATGTTAAGGGGGAAAATCGAGGCATAAATCAGTGTCATATTATGTTAAGAGCGAAAATCGAGGCATAAATCAGTGTTATATTATGTTAAGAGCGAAAATCGAGGCATAAAGCAGTGTTACATTATGTTAAGAGCGAAAATCGAGGCATAACCCAGTGCCATATGACGTTAAGAGGGAAATCGACACTTTTTCCGTCAATTTTTGGACAATCTTATTTACCATAAATACAAACATTCTCGAATATAGCTCTTGATTTGACTTTGCTTGGCTGAAAGAGTTGACGGAAAGGTTTTCAGACGGAAACGATCATTATCGTCTGACTGGAAAATCGACAATTCGCTCAAAAATGGACAAAATTTCAGAAGATTGTCAAAAAATTGACGGAAAAAGTGCTTGTGTGACGGCACCTTAGCTTTGATAAGTTGGTATGGAATATAATCGAACGAATGAGTATTTGTTAAATAGACAAAGTTAATTATCTATTGGTAAAAGATTGCCAGTCTGTCAAGATTCAGAAAAAAATAATAAGAATATGAAACAAATTATTGCAATGACAATACCAGTAATAATAATAGCAGTAACAAAAGTAATAATATGTATGATAACAATGGTAATATCAATAATGACAATAATAACAAAAACAATAATACCACTAACACTACTATACTACTACTACAGATAATAATAATAATAATAATAATAATAATAATAATAATAATAATAATAATAATAAATAATAATAATAATAATAATAATAATATAATAATATAATAATAATAATAATAATAATAATAATAATAATAATAATAATAACAATAAATAATAATAATAATAATAATAAATATAATAATAATAAACAATAATAATAATAATAATATAATAATAATAATAATAATAATAATAATAACAATAATAATAATAACAATAATAATAATAACAATAATAATAATAAAAATAATAATACTAATACTACTACTACTACTACTACTAATAATAATAATAATGCCATAAAATACTAAATAAAATGCAACTGATTTTATTTCAATTCAAATGAGCTTAAAATACTTACTCCCCTTTTCATATTTATTTTGTTTATATATCTATTACTATAATTAAAAAAAAAAACATATCTACCAATACCTACAAAATAAATCACAAGTTAAGCTAAAATAATTCCTAATTTCTTTCCCCTGAACCTATCAACAGAAAATATAATAAAAAAAAACAAATAAAAAGAAGAACGAACAAAAAAGAAAGAGAAAAAAAAAGAAAAAAAAGAGGAAGAAAGAAAAAAAGAACAAAGAACTAAGAAAAAAAAGAAAAAAGAGAAAGAATGACAAAGAACTAAGAAAGAAAAGACATAAAGAAAAAAGAAACAAAAACTAAGAAAAAGAAAAACCAAAAGAAAAAGAGAGAAAGAAAGAACAAAGAACTAAAAAACAGAAAAAAAAGAAGAGAAAGAAATAATAAAGAGCTAAGAAAAAGAAGAGAAAGAAATAATAAAGAGCTAAGAAAAGAAAAGACAAAAGAAAAAAAGAGAACATAAAGATTAAGAAAAACCAAAAGAAAAAAGAGAAAGAAAGAACAAATAACAAAGAACTCAAAACAGAAAACAAACAAAAAAACAAAAAACAAAAAACCAAGCGAGCTGCGCCCCTCTCACCCGCCCCCGGAGATGAAGCTCAGCCCCTCCGGAAAGGCCTTGTCGTTGAACGTGTAGATGGTGAGGAAGCGGCATTCGCTCCCCCGCGGCAGCCAGGTGAAGTGCTTGCACTCCTCCTCCACCTCCCACCACTCCTGCGTCGAGGAGAGGTTCCCGAAGCCGTCGGACTGGAGGGTGAGCCGGAGGTCGACGAAGCCCTTTTTCTTGTCTGTTAGGGTCGAGGGGGTTAGAGGGGGGAAGTGGTTGGAGGGGAGGGGAGGGGATGTGGGGAGAGGAGCGAGAGGGGAGGGAGGGAGGGAGGGAGGGAGGGAGGGAGGGAGGGGAAGGGGAGGGGGAGGGAGGAGGGAGGAGGGAGGTGGGAGGTGGGAGGAGAGAGGGGAGAGGGAGGGGAGGAGGGAGGAGAGAGGGGAGAGGAGGGGGGAGGGATGGGGGGAAGGGAAGGGAAGGAAAAAAATGGGGGATTAGATATGCGTATTTCATTTGTATTTTTTTTATTCTATTTTCTTGGCTATTGATTGGAGAAAAAAATGGGGGATTAGATTTTCCTATTTCATTTGTTTTTGTTTTTATTCTTTTTTTTTTTTTGCTATTGATTGGAGGAGCGATGGAGAGCAGAAGTGAGTCAGAAAAAAATGGCATTTAGATTTTTTTTTTTTTTGTAATTCATTTATATTCCCATCTTTTTATTCTCTTTTCTACTGATTGAAGGAGCGATGGAGAGAAGGGGGAGTCGGGAAAATGTGGTTTAGATATTCTCTTTTCCTTTTGCTTTTGTATTTCTATCTTTTAATTTTCTTTTAAGACGAAAACATAGGAAAAGGAGTGAACAATTATGTGGATTTGATTTTTTTTATTGGCATTATCGCCTTTTTTATCTTATCATCGACTCTCTCTCTCTCCCTCTCCCTCTCCCTCTCCTTCTTTCTCATTCCCTCCCCCATCCTCAGTCTATCCTCTCCCTTTTCCCTTCCCATTTCTCCCTCCCCTCCCATTCCCCTTTTCCCCTCTAAACCTCACCTCTATCTCCTCTTCTCCCTCTCCTATCCTTATTTCTCCTTCTCCCTCCCTCCCCACTCTTTTTCTCCCCCCATTCCCTGTTCATCTCTCCCTCCCCCCCCCCTTGTTCCCTCTCCACCCCTCCTTCCGTCTTTAACCCTCCTAGAGCCCCCTTCCCCGTACCCCCTTTCCCCTGTCAATCTCCTTCCCTCCCTTCCTCCCAACCCCTCTCTCTCCCTACGTTTCCTTCTCCCTCCCTCCCAACCCCTCTCAGTCCCTACCTTTCCTTCTCCTTCCCTCTCTCCTCCCAACCCTCTCTCTCAAAACCCCTCTCTCTCTACCTTTCCTTCTCCTTCCCTCTCTCCCTCCCAACCCCTCTCTCTCTACCTTTCCTTCTCCTTCCCTCTCTCCCTCCCAACCCCTCTCTCTCTCTCTCTACCCTTCTCTCCCTCCCTCCCTTACCCTCCCCAAGCCCCTTTCCCCATAACCCCCCCACCACCACCACCACCTTCCCCACCCCCCTCACCTTCCAGCTGGGGCACGTAGAGAGCCTGCCCCTTGTTGGTCACCTTCAGGAACTTCGGCAGGAGGTTCTCGATGAGCACGGGGTTCGCGTCCAGCTCGCCCTCGAGGATCCTCACCAGTTTCTCTCTGACGGGGTTCCGCTCGCTCCCTGTGAGAGGAAAAGAGGGTTGGATTTGGTCTTTTTTTTTTGCTTTCTTGGTTATCTCTAAAGAAAAGAGTAGAGAAAAAAGTACGTTTAGGATATAAGATGATTTATAGTTTTTGTTTTTTATGATTGTCTTCCGAGCAACTTAGAGAAAGAAAAGAGAAGAAAAAAGAAAGAAAATTATAAAGAAAAGATAGGAAACACACACATACACACATATATATACATATATATATAGTAGTGTAAGAGATAATCATATCTCGTAAATGCATCATCTATGTTATATTTTGGGAGGTCTTTTCCTCTTTGAAAAATAAAATAAAATAAAATATTCTATAAATGCGTTTTATTAATCAATTTGTCTTTTTTTTTTACTTCTTTCACAAAGAGAGATGATCTTTATGATGACTTAACATAATTACACCAACACCAATGACACCAACAAGAGCAAAAAAAACACCATCACTACAACAGGGAAATTGACACCACCAATAATGGCAACACTGCAAACAACAACAAAAAAACTACTGCCAAGAAAATGAACATCTGCAAAAAAAAAGACTAACAACAAAAACAAAAACATCACCACAACAAAACATCAACAACAACACCAACGAAGAAAATACCAAAAAAAAAAACACCAACAAAAAAAGAAGAAAAAAAAAAAATCTAACGCACCTTCGAACGCCTTGAGCTGGATCTCCGTCTCGTCCTTGCATTCGGACGCCACATCCGGGGACTTGGACGGCCGCTTGACGCTCCACCGCATTTTGAGGCGGATCGGGTGGTGGCTCTGCAGGTCGCTGATCAGACGCCGCTGGGGAGAGCCACGGAGAGGGGGTTAGAGGGGGAGGGAGGGAGGGAAAGGGGTTTAGAGGGGGAGGAGGGAGAGGGGTTTAGAGGGGGAGGGAGAGGGGTTTAGAGGGGGAGGGAGGGAGGGAGAGGGGTTAGAGGGAGGGAGGTGAATGGAGGTGAAGGGGAGGGGAGGGGAGGGGAGGGAGGTGAAGGGAGGGTTAGAGGGGGGAGGGAGGTGAAGGGGAGGTTAGAGGGGGGAGGGAGGTGAAAGGGGAGGGAGGGAGGTGAAGGGAGGTGAAAGGGGGAAGGGAGGTGAAGGGAGGGAGGGGGTTAGAGGGGTTAGATGGTGGAGGGAGATGGAGGGAGGTGGAGAGAGGAAGAGGGAGGGAGGGAGGGAGGGAGGGAGGGAGGGAGGGAGGGAGGGAAGGAGGAAGAGGGAATTAGATGTTGAAGGGAGGTGGAGGCAGGTTGGAGGGAGGGAGGTGGAGGAGGTTGGAGGGAGGGAGAGGGAGGTCATTAGGGTGGTGGGGGGGAAAAGGAGTGAATTAAATGAGAGAGAGGGAATTAGATGGAGTGAGGTGGAGTGAGGGGGAGAGGGGATAGATGAAGGAGAGAGAAGGAAAGCAAGACACTAAACAGACTCCGCTGAGGGGGAGGAGATTAGACGGTGGAGGAGGTAGAGGGAGAGAGCGGAGAAGGTAGGGTGAGGGAGGGAGACAGGTCGTTGATAAAATGCTGCTGGGGGGGGAGGGAGGGGATTAGATGGTGAAGGAAGAGAGAGAAGGAAAGGAGGGAATTAAATGATGAAGGGAGCAGGGTAAATGGATGATGGAGGGAAGCAGAGGGGGATCAGATGATGGCGGAAGAGGGTATGGAGGAAAATGGAAAAGTAGGATGTGTCTGGCGTATATAGATCTTAGTATATACATATATATAAAGACCATAGTACATTCACTCATGTTCACACAGTCGTGGTGGTGTATGGTTATACACGTACACACACGCACGCACGCACACGCACGCACGCACGCACGCACGCACGCACACACACAACACACACACACACACACACACATCACACACACACACACACACACACACACACACACACACACACACACACACACACACACACACACACACACATATACATACATACATACATACACACACACACACACACACACACCCACAAACATAGCACTCCATCCCCACTCTTTTCTACGTCCCTTCTCCACACCTTTGAACAATACCCCTCCCTTTACTCCCCCCCACTCACCCACCCTCTCCACGCCCCCATCACCCCTCCCCGCCACCCTTCTCCCCTACCTGCGCGGGCGGCGAGATCCCCCAAATGGCCGTCGAATTCCCGCTGAGCTCTGCCACGACCACATCGCCGAAGTCGTAGTTGCTGAGGAACGTCTGAGCCTGGCGGTCGGCGCGGTAGTGGTAGTTGAAGGAGTCCCAGTCCTTCATGGTGAAGCTGTGGGGCGATTTAGAGATTTTTAGGGGTCTGGTTTCAATTCCGTCTGTTACAGTGGATATTCTTTGCTGGGATATACTGTCTGTTTTTTTTAGTGGATATTCTTTGCTGTGATATACTGTCTGTTTTTCTTTTATTTTGCCTTCTAAATCTCCCCCTGTGTGCAAGGAATGGCCGGGGTTACCATCCACTGGTAGCGCGCAGGATCGAACGCAGGTCAGCAAGACTGCAAGACCAGCACGTTCACCAATGCACTACACAGCACAAAGAGGGGGGGAAGAGGGAGGAAGGAAGGGGAGGAAGGGGAGGAGGGGAGGTAGGGGAAGGGGAGAGGGAGAAGAGGATATATTTTGGTTGAGAGATTGATCAATTCATTCATTTTTTCTGCCTCTATTTTAAGATGTGTTGTGAAATATAGTATGTATACTTCAGAATACCTTTCATTGGCCCCGACCTCGCCAATGCCTGTGGCCGACATCCTTATTTCTTTATTTATTTATTCATTTACCTATTCAATCAATGCAACATGTACATCAGGTATTTTCACTTATTCTACACTCTTGCACAGTCTCCTCGAAGTCCGTGTCCCTAACGCTAGTGCAGGGAGGTGGCTTAGACCTCGGCCCTCGATGACACATTCATTCACTGACGGATATATTGGCAGATGGATAGGTAAAGATTGATTGAGAAACTCAATGACTGATTAACACATTCGCGGATATATAGATAGGATAGTAGAGAGGGGGAGGGGGAGGGGGAGGGGGAGGGGGAGGGGAGGGGAGAGAGGGAGAGAGGGGAGAGAGGGGGAGAGAGGGGAGAGAGGAGAGAGAGAGAGAGAGAGAGAGAGAGAGAGAGAGAGAGAGAGAGAGAGAGAGAGAGAGAGAGAGAGAGAGAGAGAGAGAG